AGCTGGTTACTATTGTAAGGGAAGAGTCAACCGGAAAATTCAAGAACTCCGATATTGTTTACCCAATCCCCAACTTTTAATATATGTAATCCATTATAATTCCCTAAAGTTTGAAATATTTTACTACAGCTGTGTAAAATATTGGTTAAGGAGAAATGACTTTCCTTTTACCTCATGTTGTAAACTAAAAGGTTCAATAAAAACATATTCAGTGTCTTGATTTGTTTGGTGTTAATATATAAATGTTCTGATTAGGTTAACCAGAGCTAAGGCTTTAATCAGAACAGAGAGTTACAGTAAAATTGTCTAGACAGCTTTGCCAGGGGCACTCCTCTTAAAATCTTTACCTTTTTTTAAAGATCTTTTAAGAACTTTTTTTTTAAGCTTTTTATTTTAGAAAAAGTGCATGTGCATGACCTGAGGGAGAGTGAGGAGCAGAGAGGGAGAGGAAGAGAATCTCAAGCTTACTTCCCACTGAGCTCGGAGCCCCACATGGGGCTCAAATCTCAACCCTGAGATCACGACCTGAGTTGAAACCAAGAGTCGGACAGTCAACTAACTGAGCCACCCAGGTGCCCCTCCTCTTAAAAGATCTTTAAATAAATATTCCTGTATAGTGAAAATGAGCACAGAAACGGAGGAAGCAAAAAGCTAAATGGTCTAATTCTGGCAAGAAGATAATAACTAAATTCAAGAAAAGTATACTTCAAAACCAATGAACCACTAATAATGATGAATAAAAGTTAATATTGTGAGGTGATCCACCCCCCAATAAATTCATAACAATTTATAGAGGAGTCTTCTTCAGTTTTATTACAAAAATGAGGATGATCAGTTTGATCAAAATGAAAGCTTGCTCACAAGTTTTACATGAATATTCTAAATACAAAGTCTCCTGAAACAACATACTTTTGATATGATTTTCATTTTTTAAAAGGGATGCAAACATTCCATTTTTTTCATTTATAATCTCTATCCCAAGACATAGTGTTTAATAGTATATCTTTTCTGCAGTTAAATCCAAATTCACAAGGATAACTGAAACAGACAAAACCTTGTCATCAAAGGTTAAAAATCCATTTTTTTTACAGAGGTAAATCCTTAATAACCAGCCCTTATGTATTTTCAGATCTTGTATTACACTGACATGATTTGCAGTCAGTTTTTTTTTCCTACCCCTTAAGGCTACAAAACTCTGTTGCAAATGCATTGCAAAAGAATTCTAGACCACTTAATGCAAAAATCAAAAAAATAGTTCTCCAATAAAAAGTAAATTTTATAAATGGTAGGAAATAGTATCTGTGGTAAGCTACTAAGTGACATTTTCCCCTATTACTAAACAAATCATGTTACACAGAAACAGGAAGACAAGTTATCAAATACAACAAGTTTACGCTATGTTTACATCCCTCATTAAAAAAAAATAATTTCGTATTTTTCACACATTCCATCTGATATATTTTCTCATCAGGTTGGAGGAGGAGGGTAATACTGTCCATAATTCCAAGGATTCTGATAATTGTACTGAAAGGAAAAAGCACACATGTTAGCATACTAGAACTGGCTGGTTCCATTTATAAAAGCAGGTATATTTAAGAAAACAGGCATGTGCTCACTGCTAAAATTCTAAGACTTAACCACGTAAGACAATTTATTGTACAGTCTGGAGTAGAAGTAGTTGTTAAAAAAAACTATCCTAACTTATGCTTTTCTAATTAACATCTATGAACAAAAAATTCAATTATGTGAACTCACTTGATACCAGGCACTATAATTATATGCAGCTTGATTTGCCTGTAAATCACCATCAATCATCTGTGTAGATGATGAAGTTGTATCTTCTGTGTGAGCTTTCTTTTCCTCTGGTTCTTCTGATCTAAAAAGGATAAAACAGAAACTTTCAAAACTCCCAGAGGTAAGTACTTTTAAAACAAGTGGATGAATGTGTACATTTGTACCTATGTACATTTGTTTTAGTAAAGTTTTTAACCAGTTTTGATTTTTTCAAATTCTGAATATAAAGCACTAAATTACCACAACATGAAGGTAACATGTAAAAATATTTATCTTTAAAGGCATTTCCACAATGAAATGTTGTCTTCTAAGCATCCCTTCCTGATTCAGCAAGGAGTTACATACCCATTTTCTGCTTTCCTTTTTAAAGAATCCTGTTCTTTTAGGAGTGTTTGATGTTCATCATAAGCATTCAAAAGCCTGAGAGGGAAGGAAAAAAAAATCCTCTGGAATATACAAAAACCAAACTGATAAATTTATAAAGTTTTGGACTTATTTCCACTTGGAAACAAAAATATGTTGCAGTGAGTATCCATTGATTTTTTATTATTATTTTTTAATGAACCAATAAACAAACCTCCCAGCTACCTTTTCCAATGTATTTCCTTTGGGAAAGCACTACTCTGCACTTTCCTTCTCAGCCCATGTGATTCAAATGGGGCTTCAGGGATTCAGGACTGGCCAATTACGTACTATATACCCCTGACCAATAATATAACCCAAACCTAGACATTTAGTAAGTCCTGGGATTTTTGAGCTACTAGAAAAATGCTTGTTCTCTGTACTACAGTTGGCTAAAGGTGATGGGATATTGGTCAACAGCTACCTTTGGTTATTTCTAACACAGGGGAGAGCCCGCCTAAGAAATTCTTACACAACTAAGACAGTGACCTTGAGGGTTTCTGTCTAGTGCAGAGTGAGTCCTGACCATTCTGTGATTTATATACTTTGAGATCTAATTTAACATTGCTTATTAAAGATACTGGACACCAGTTAGGATAAAGTATATTTAAACTTTTGGCCATGTGATAAACTGAATTAAAACTTAATACAAAACTACAGGGGTGCCTGGATGGCTCAGCCAGTTAAGTGTCTGCCTTCGGCTCACCTCATGATCCCAGCATCCTGGGATTGAGCCCCGCGTTGAGCTCCCTGCTCAGTGGGGAGCCTGCTTCTCCCTCTCCTTCTGCCCCCTCCCAACAGTACCCCCCCCACACTCGTGCTCTCTTCTCGCTCACTCTGCACTCTCTCAAATAAATCTTTAAAAAAAAAAACTAATTCAAATCTACAATGTGGAATTATCACTGATTAAAAAGATAATTTTTTAGGACGCGCCTGTGTGGCACAGTTGGTTAAGCATCTGATTCTTGGTTTCAGCTCAGGTCATGCTCTCTGGGTCGTGAGATCATGCCCCATGTTGGGCTCTGCACTAAGCACAGAGTCTGCTTAAGACTCTCTCTCCCTCTGCCCCTCCCCCCTGCACATGTGTGAGCTCTCAAATCCTTTTTCTTAAAAAAAAAGATAATTTTTAATAAATAAAAAACTTCTAACATGATACGTGTATTTTAAGTCTCACCTGGAACTCAGAACTTCAAAAACGATGTCACCTGAAGCCAAACTGACTGTAAAATCCTAAAGATTTTGTTTTCCTTTTACCATTTTCTGAAATATTTTTTATAAAGACAAATGGCCTTATTTTTTGAAGTAATCATAAACCTGAACACAGATAATTAACATTTCTGTAGAAATGACTTTAATATACTTGACATGCATACACAACTTCCCTGGGCAGCCTGCATACATACACATCTAATGATAACAACCAGTAACTCTGATCCCAAAATGTTCAAGAAGCTATAAAATTGTTAATACCAGCAATCTCTGATTGTTTACTCAACATCAAGCACTTTAAATGGACTAGGTTTCTTTAAGACTTTTAACAACCTGTGGATTAGGTGATAAGAGAGATTCAATCATAACGAGAAAATCTGAAAACTGAGGAATACACAAATGGTAAGTGACACAGCTAAGATTTAAGCATATATTTGAATTAAACATCAATTCTTACTAATACATTATGCTGCTACCTAAATTTCTAAGCTCATTTATTTTTCAATCATTGCCTTTTTAAATTTCAACTACAACAATCTTAGACCTGATATACAGACCCTCTATAACTATATTTGCAAGGGCCTAACTGGCATCTTTGTGTTAAGCCTTAGATTTGTCCACATATTATTGCAAAATTCAAATATGTCATTTAATCCCAGTCAAAACTCTAATAGCGTCCTACTGTCTATTTGTGGTACTATATGTGCTCTAACCCAGCCTACTGTTCAATACACAGCACAATCAACATCACACTTCTACTACTTCAAAAGCCCTCCAATCAAGCAAATTTACTTTTAAATGAACTTTAACTTTCTTCCATTTTATCCTCTCCTTGTCAGAATCCAGGAGTATCTAAATGAAGCCCCATCTCCTCTGTGAAGGATGACAAATCCATCCTGATCCACAGAAATCAGTCGCCTTTAACAGTTTTGTGCCACCTCATATACTTACATATTTCCTCTGATCATCATACCATCCACTAGACTAAAACCTGGAATTAAATATCCCATTTCTTTTGTGCACCTTCTTCAGTACAAAATAAACAGAAGACACTAAATATACAGCACAGGTGGTTAGAAGCATAGACTTTGATGCAAGTTCTAATCCCAGCTGCACAATGAAATAGCAGCTAACTGACCTTGGAAAAATTTCTAATCTCTTTAAGCCTCTCTTCATCTATTAAAAGAACAACAGTACCAACAACAACAAAAAAACAGTACTTATACCTTCATTAGCTAATTCATAAAACACATTTAATGTGTCAAGCACATATATACGATTGTATTAAAAATTAACTTAGGTTAAAATGTTTTTTAGTTCAGCTAAAATTTTACTCAACCATCAAAAATGTATACATACATATATAAAGACACATAAACCCTCATTTTATCAACAGCTGTTTCAATAGAAATCACTTTAAATTAATTAGGGTAATTAGAAAAGGGACATGCCTACTACGTGGGATAGTTCCCTACTAGAAGCAGTTAAGACTGGAACAGCAGCAATACTCTAATCAATACTTCTACTCTTCTATTTTGCAACTATAAATCACAAGCTTCTCCTTTTCCCAAATCCCTTAGAGTAAATCCTTCCACCACCCTCAACTTTCAGCTTCTTACAATGCATTAAATTGAGTCCATTAGGCATGCTCTGTGCAACCATATCCATTTTCTCCAATCAGAGATAAAACGGCATCCCTATTTCAGATTAAGCCCATCCCCCTTTAGTGGCCTATATACTGTTTCTGTGTTTTAGGGTTCAATCCTTGACCCATTTCTTTTTTCATGGGATTGCTGTTTCCTGCCTTCTCTCATTGTTTACATTACCATGCTAAAATTTCGAAAACAATTTTGAAGTAAAGACAAACCATCTATCCTCCTGTTAAACACATACACATTTGCAAAACTGAATTTACCCTCCATATATATGAGGAAAAAGTAACCTAGGCAAACATTTTAAATTTAACAATATATGAATTTGCACTAATCATCAAACTCCCAACCAAAATTATCAATGCTCATTTACTATGCAAATAGATAATATATAATTAAGATCTTACTTATTAACATCTGAACCAAAATCTTCAAGAAATTCCACTTTTCTCTGAGAAAATGTAATTCTCATTTTAATAGGTAATGAACCATGTATAGCTTTGTCAAAACAATTTAGGATATTTTCTTCATTTTGTTTGAGGTCACCACTATATTCCATTTCAAGTAAATTGAGGTATAATTTTGTATTCTCCTGTGTAAAAAGCAGTATCAATTAATAATATTTCTAAGATATTTTTATTAGAACACAGATATTTAAAATGCCTTAAATTTTATGTCTAAGTTTGAAAAATATTGAGAATCGTATTAAAATGTAACTCATGTTAAATGTTTTGAGCATATTATCAAAACAGGTGACAAAACTAATTAGCACATTGAGAAGTAATGACCTAGTATCTCCCAAATTATGCCAAGCTGTTAAATCCCAGTAAGTTAAAACCCTATATCCTATCTTGGGTTTAATGTGGCTTGACCAACCATGACAAATATAAAATATTAAAAAATGGTTTGTACAGTTCCCATTAATACTGTTATCATCTTAAACTGCAGCTGGAAACACACTGTTATAGACCTGTGTCTTAAACAGACCCTGGTATTAGCTAAAAATCTAAAAAGTGAGAAATATCATATATACTGCCTTTTATCAACTGATAAAGTGAAATACTTTGGAAAAGGAGAATCTCACTGTTATAGTTGCTAAGACGTAGACATATGCCATGCTTTTGTTTATAAGATATTCTCCCAAGTCCTCTACTTAGAATAATCAGTAAATCTGCTGTAAAATTTCTAAACATTAGAGAAACAGAATGTGTCACAATGTCTGCAACAATTTTTAATCCAATAATCTTAATTTTCTCAACCTTTTAATTCCTAATAATTTGAAAATTTTTTAAAGAATGGCAACATCAGTTTAGAGGGACTGTTGTCTTCATTTAGTAATAAAATATATTACATACAGACCAAATCTTTCATCATAGTTGCCAAAATGAGAAAACAAACAATGACCACTGTTCTTCTGTTGTTTTTTTGTTTTTGTTTTTTGTTTTTTTATGAAAGATATTCTAAAATACAAATACATACTTTGTCTCTTTCGATTGCTTCCAAAAGCACCTTTCTTGATTTTGGAAGGTTTTTTTGTATTTTGAAAAGATGCCGGGCTAGTTTGATAGCATAAAACGATGATTCATTATTTGATTTGGCATTCTTAATGGCATCCTGAAGCAAATGTTCAGCTTCTTCCATATTTCCGTGCCGTCGTTCTAAACTTACTCTTCTCAAACGAACCATTGCCAATCCTAGAACACATTCTTCAAATGTTCTCAAGATATTCCTGGCTTCGTTAATATTACCTAGAAATGTTAATTAAATGTTTATGCTTTTGTTTAAACTTCTGAAATATCCTTTATGCAAGGTACTGGCAAATAACAGTACACAGGCTAAATCCGGCCCTCCACCTGTTTTTTTTTTTATTTAAAACTGAAAACAGCCATGCTCATTTGTTTATTATCTACAGATGCTTCTGGGCTATAATGGTAGCGTTGTCAGGAGAGAGACCATATGGCCTGAAAAGCCTAAAATTTTACCATCTGGCCCTTTACAGAAAAAGTTTATTGACCTCTGCTTTACACCATCCCTCAAGACTCAATTCCTAGGGGCGCCTGGGTGGCTCAGTTGGTTAAGTGACTGCCTTCGGCTCAGGTCATGGTTCCAGGGTCCTGGGATAGAGCCCTACATCGGGCTCCCTGCTTGGCGGGAAGCCTGCTTCTCCTTCTCCCACTCCCCCTGCTTGTGTTCCCTCTCTCACTGCCTCTCTCTCTCTCTCTCTGTTGAATAAAAATAAATAAAATCTTTAAAAAAAAAAAAAAAAAGACTCAATTCCTAGAACTTTATCCAGAAGTACCTTAAAATCCCAAAAATACCAACTGAATTTCCTCATTCTTACCCTGCTGTTCCTCAAAAGCTGCCCAAAGCATATGCACCATGGGTTTCTTTGGGAGATGAATAGTGCAAGCTCTGCTGAAGACATGCCTCACTCCTTCAATGCTATGGTTTTCCATGTACTTGGCATACTACATACAGAAACAAAGGAAATACTGAATAATTTACAGTTGAACGAGCCATTAAATATGTGACAGAACGATAAAATTCTATTTTTAAACCCATTCAGCACCTTTATTGAACCACTAGACTAGTTTCTGTAAGGAAGGACGAAGAGAGGCAACGAGGTTGGCATATGCAGCAGTCAAATCTGGTTGCAAGCAGACCATCTCCTAATGCAACAGATATAGTTATATGAACAACATTCAACAGAAGTACAAAAAAGGTTAGTCACTAGATCAATGTTTATAATATGTTCAAGTTTCAGAGCATCTAATTTTCTTACCTTAATCCAAAACTCCTCATAGAGGGCACATGATATGACACATCTTTCAAAGAGAACCACAACTCGTTCATGAGTCCCATTTTCAATTTCAAATTCTAAGTATTCTTTCCAGTTTTTTAGTTGTGCCTTTTCCAATGGTTTCACATGAAAATAAGGTCTTTTAATCTGTAATAAAAGTATGACAGGAAAAATAGTGTTAACAGGAATGAAAGTAAACCAATACCAACACCAGAAAATACATGACTATAGTAACAATACGAATTATCTAAATTATGTATGTAATTAATGATGGTGAACCAAAAATATTTTAATCACCGTATTTCATGATAAAAACTTTTAAAATTATATTTCTTAGACTTTACAAATTGAAGAAGCAGAATGTATCTTTCATTTATTTATTAATTGTAATGGCACTACACAATTTTCTTTACGTTCAGTAAATTTTTTTATTGAGTATTTTAAAACTGAACAATTATACTATATAACAGAAAGCAGATCAGTAGTTGCCTAGGGCTAGGAGTGGGATGGGGGTTACTGAATGAAAAGGGACCAAGGGAACTTCCTGGGATGACAGACTAGTTCCATATCTGATTGCCATGGAGCACTGTAATGTGCAAATACATATCAAACCTTATGGCCAGTCAACAAAAAAAACCACATAGTATATGATTCCACTCAAATGAAAGGCCAGAACAAATCTATAGAAACAGAAGTAGATTAGTAGTACCTTAGGGCTGGGGTAAGGGGTGGAGCAGACAGGTGAGGGAGTAGAGGGGTGACAGCTAAAGGATAAAGAATTTCTTTGTGAGGTTATGAAAATGTCCTAAAATGGGCCATAGTGATGGCTGTACCTATCTGTGAACACACCAACAACTACTGAATTATACACTTTAAATGGATGAACTATACGGTAAGTGAACCGTATCTCAAAAAAGCTGTTTAGAAAAACAGAAATAAAGAATTAGAATCTGTGGAGGGAAACCCTCATTTTACTACACATCTAAAATGGGTGCATTTGTTGTATGTAAAGTATGAACTCAAATAAGATGATTTAAAAAACTGAACAACTGTAATAAAATGGCTCAGATTAAATAAGTATCTTCCAACTGGAGTAAATCTGAATTCATTTTATAACATTCTAAAATTGATAATGGAAAATGATAAAACTGATCATGGGAAACTGGTAATAGTATTTAAATAAGCAAAAATAAAAAGTAGAGAGACATTACTCAAAACTGAAAAATACATTATTCCTATCTTTATATTTTGAAGCCTATTACAAAACAAAAACACTTACACCTTCTTCAAATGTCCACCTTTTACTAACTTCATGCTCATTATAATTAAACATTTCTTGATGAATTTCAATGATTCTATGTCTCATGTTTTCTATTTCCGTAATTAGCTTGGGAAGAAAAAGAAAAAAATTTAAATCACACAAGTTATATACTGAAATTTTTTAATATTATTGCTTAAATTTAGGTATTATCTATACCTACTTCATAATCTGAGAATAGTGGTAGGTTTTAAACTGTTAACAATTATATGGAAAGTACACTTAACAATTCTAAAATTTCTAACAGAACTTCCTAATAAACCACTTTCTTGTGTACGTTTAAAGGGGACTAGTAGATTACCACGTGGGCAAAATGTCCTTCTAAGCTATTTCCAGGTGTCTCATAGTAAAATAGATTCTCTACCTTAACTCCCTTTTTAAACCACACCATAGCTAAAGAAGTCCCACTTGCCTTAATTAGAAATTAATTTTATATGAGACACAAGTCATACAACACATGATGCAGTCAAGGGATATAAAGTCTAGTTTCTCATGCATTGAAGGATTTTTCAGTAAGTCTGGTTACCTTTGCTGGATCAGTAATGTCTTCAATTCCCGACGGTAGATCATCACCAGGAGGACCATCATCACCACTATGTCCGTTTACAGAAGCTAATTCCCTTCGCAGCTGAATAAACTGTTCACCAGTTAGCAGATCTCTAGGCAAGTTATTCTGTACATGTTCTTTAAATCTAAATAAGCCAATAAAAATAAATTCTCTATATATGAAGCATAATTTTAGATCCCACATTTAATTCCTACTACACAGTACTCTTTCAAAAAATTTCTGATTTCAAACACCAAACCCTTTCTATCCTTTTTTATAGTAAAAACCTACCACTTGATGAAACAGTCTACAGACATCTTCATTTCTTTTATGCCTTTGCAATGTAACAGAGAAGACATGGAGAGGCATACATTCAAATCCTAACTCTGTCCATTATTAGTTATTTGACCTCGGGGAAGTTTTTCTCTTTTTTTTTAAGATTTATTTGAGAGAGAAAGCAAGCACGCATGGACGTGGACGAGGACTTGGACGAGTGGGGGGAGGGGCAGAGGGAGAGGGAGAAGTAGACTCCCTGCTTGAGCAGGGAGCCTGACGTGGGGCTTGATCCCAAGACCCCGGGATCATGACCTGAGCCAAAGGCAGGCTCTTAACTGAGCGGGCCACCCAAGCATCCCAGTTTTTCCCTTCTTTAAGTCTTGGCTTTCTCATATGTAAAATGGCACAATACTATTTTGCAAAATGTATTTATTTATGCAAAATTACTTTAAAATATAAACCCTACTTAAATCATAAATGATCATTTGTAAATGATCAACAAATGTTTGCCGTTTCTTCCCCACCTCCCAGTTACTCCTGAATCTGTGTCCGTGCCAAACACACCAATGAAATTGCACTAATTAAAGTCACCAAATGCCTCTTACATGCAAAATTAAATGGACACTTGTTTCATAGTACACGTTATACTCTAATAATGTCTTCACTACTAAAGGCCTTTAACCATGCTTTCCTTTTAGAAGGCACTGAGTTACCACTTTCTTGGTTTGCCTCCAAGTCTCTGACTGATCTTGATCTTTGAGGATTCTCCCTTCCTATTGATCCCTGAATGTCAGGATTGCCAAGGATTCCATTTGACATTTTGTTCTCATCTATCTTCATTAACTTCCTGGCCAATCTTACTAATACAGAAATAAGCATACTATGGTGACCTGCAAAACTTTAACTCAAGCCCATACTTTTCTCCTCAATTCTAGATTAGTCTGTCCAACTGCCAAAACTCTGCACAAAGAAACAGGTTAATTTTGAGTGTTTTGAAAAAAGTCATTTCACTTTTCCACACACACTAATTTATGTGCAAATTTTCATCAAAAACACCAAGTTGAAGAGCTAAAATAGCTACACTATCTAAATTTGGAACCTTATGTACAAATCTTAAACTAACTGTGTCATCTTTATCCACCAATCAACACCCTCAGCATTTCTAATCTTGCCTAATGGTACCGTCAACCACTCAGTTTCTAAATCTCTTCGACCTCACTTCACTTACATTCCACTGAGTATCAGGTCCTATTGATTCTACCTTCTAAATATGTCTTCATGTCCTTCTCATTTTTCACCTGGATAAACATAAATGGCTTCTAGCCACTAGTCTCACTATTCCCATCTCAACCCTAATACTGCTATCAAAAATGTTATCAAAAAGTAAACATGAAAAACATAAACATGATCATGACTGCCTCCTGCCAAAATAACTTCTGTTCATTTACCCTGCATTCAGGATAAAATCCAATAGCCTTAAAGTCTTTCATATTCTAACCCAGACTGACCTCTTCATTCTAATTATTAGATATAGTTGTACATGTACCTTATGCTCCAATCTTATGGATTTTCCCCAAGTTTCTTAAAACTGATTTAGGCTATTCACACCTGAATTTTTACGGATTTTAAGGTTTTCACTAATATACGTAAATAACATGGGAAACAAATCTAGATTTTACAGAATTAGTAATAAATACTGAAGCTTAACTTGATCCATTTCACCACTGGAAGAGAACAAATACAGACTGCCTTATTAAAAAAAAAAAATTAGAGGGGCGCCTGGGTGGCTCAGTCGTTAAGCATCTGCCTTCGGCTCAGGTCATGATCCCAGGGTCCTGGGATCGAGCCCCGCATCGGGCTCCCTGCTCCGCGGGAAGCCGGCTTCTCCTTCTCCCACTCCCCCTGCTTGTGTTCCCTCTCTCGCTGTGTCTCTCTCTCTCAAATAAATAAAATCTTAAAAAAAAAAAAAAAATTAGAAAGGAAGTAATTTTCAAAAGTATAGTAAGGGAACAAACAGATTTAGGGGAGCCTGGATGGCCTAGTCAGTTAAGCAGCTGCCTTCGGCTCAGGTCGTGATCCCAGGGTCCCAGGATCAAGCCCCACGTGGGGCTCCCTGCTCAACAGGGAGCCTGCTTCTCCCTCTCGCTCTGGAGCTCCCCCTGCTTGTGCTCTCTCTCCCTCTGTCAAATAAATCAAATCTTTAAAAAAAAAGAAAAAAAAAGAAAATGTACAGATTTAGTGTTCAGATAAATATTAAAACTCAAAATTGTTAGGCTACAAATAAAAACCTTAAAATTGATGACTAAAGAGCACAAATTTAAAATAATTGCTATATTATATAGGAAACTGTTTCAAATGGCGATAAAATATGACTACTAAGCAGTGAATTTTCATCAGCCTTTCCAACTATAAAGCTGATTTATTCAGTAAAGAATGGCTGAGTGTCTAATATATATTGAGCCCTATTCCTATGTATTAAGGATAAAAAGAATAAGTCTCAGACATGGACAGATGTGCAGAGCGATATACAAGAGACATAATTTCAAAGCAGTATTATTAGTGTTAAAATAAATGTAAGTAGGAGCATGTGCGTGGCACAGTAAGTTAAGCCTCCGAGCCTGGGTTTCAGCTCAGGTCATGATTTCGGGATCAAGGGATGGAGCCCCAGGTCGAGACCCGTGTTGGGCTCCATGCTCAGCGTGGAGTCTACTAAAGTTTCTCTCTCCCTCTGCCCGCCCCGCCTAAAATAAATAAAATAAAAACTTTAAAAAAGACAAACGTAGGGGCGCCTGGGTGGCTCAGTCGGTTAAGCATCTGCCTTCAGCTCAGTTCATGATCCCAGGGTCCTGGGATCGAGCCCCGCATCGCACTCCCTGCTCAGCAGAGAGCCTGCTTCTCTCTCTCCCTGCCGCTCTGCCTACTTGTGCTATCTCTGTCAAACAAATAAAATCTTTAAAAATAAATAAATAAATAAATAAATAAAATTTTTAAAAAAGAC